GCTGTTATGTAGCCAAGACTCACACCCATCAGAGCCTGGAACATGCCAGGTTCTAGGCCATGAAAGCATCTCAGAGTAAGTTTGACCCGATTCTGGGTGGGAGGTAAGAGCTGGAGGCTATTTGCTTTCGTTTTCTGGTCAATTTTGGAAGTGTTCAGCAAAGGTGACCCATTATGGTTGGTTGTGTGGTTACTGAAGTCCAAGACAATGTGAGTCCAGCCTGGGAAGGCTTGGGAAATTACACTAAGCCATATAATGAACCACATACTTTTCCCTCAAAAACCAAAATAGCCAAAGTGTTGACTCCAAGTTTGCAAGGTTGGAGGATCTTTCCTTACGAATGCTCTAAATAATCCTTGCTCTGATGCTAGCTCCCTTTAAACTTAGCCAGGTATCCTAGCGGCTCACAACCCAGTGAGTGACATGTCACATGACATAAGACGGAGGAGCTTTGGACACAGGCAGTTTGTACTGCTTGTCTGTGGAAAGGTGTGCAGTCCTGAGACACTCACCAGTAAGTGATGCTAAGTAGAGATGTCCATTCAGCTTCTGACCTCCTAGCCAGCAGAGGCTTTACTGTGACTGTGCCAGTGTGCTGACTTTGATCCTTTGAAGGAGACACTCTATTGATTTAGGATCAACCTAAATAAGATTTCTTATTAAATAAATCTTATTTAACAGTCTGATGTAATTTAATTGTAAAATATATTGCATGTGTCGTTTGTAAATGAAGTTAAATTTGTCTTATTGATTTGTTGAAGTATGTTTCACATTATAAGAATGTACAGATGAAGTGGCTGTATCATTATGTGATTTTTTTGAGACAAGATCTCCCTGTAGCCCCAAATGGCCTGGAGCTCACTATGTAGACCAGGATGGTCTTGAACTCACGGAGATCCGCCTGCCCCTTCCTCCCGAGTGCTGGGATTAAAGGCGTGTGCCACCACGCCCGGCTTGAGTTAATTCTTAAGCTAACATGTATACACATTGCAGGCTATTTTCTGGGGGAGACTAAGTCATGTTAGATTTATGCTTTTTTTTTGTTTTGTTGACAGTGTCTTCCATTTCTTCTCTGCTGACCTCAGGGTCAAGTTGACTTTACCTTTCTTTTTCTTTTCTGCCTTTTACTTAAGATAGTGTAGCTGTCATTTCCACATATTGCCTGATGTTCTGGTTTTTGCTGGAGACTTGGTTTAGGTCAATATCAGAAATACCAGTTGGCACCTCAGTGATATTTTCTACTTCTAACATCAAATGTCTGTTTTTGTCCTCTAACGCCTGTCAATTCTCTGATACCAATTGGGTGCCTCACAGTTTAATTCAATGTTTATCTTAATTTTAGGAGTTAGCAAGGACCTCATAGGTTCAAGACTCAGATCCACAAGACTATCCCTACTTTAGCTGCTCCCAACAAATGATGCCCTTGTACCCATGTTTGTGTCTGATTGATATGAATTCAGAATTTCCTATGATCACTCTATAGTTTAATAGTTATCTAGAACTACCCACAGAACTCAAGAAAACACTTAAACTCATGTTCTAAAATGGGATATTAAATATCATTCTTATGCATTTTTCTCTGGATTCTTCCTTGTTTTTGACATTGTTCCATGCCTCATTTTCTTATGATGTTAAGTGATTGCCCTGGGTTTTCTGATCTGGATTTTTAGGTGATGTTAAATTGCTAGAATGAAAGAGCTATGGGGGTTTTTGAGTGTTTTAAATCATGAGACATTTCCTCTAGTGTATTTGTGGTTTTAGAATTGCATAGTTTAAAAATGAAATATGACTTCAAAGTCTGGGGCACTCTGCAGTTTTTTAATGAAGCTGATCAAATTAGCTTGGAAGACATTGTGCTTCTATATACTGAGTCCACAAGTGGGCTATTGGTAACCACTGAAAGAAAACAAATAGCTTTCCCAGCTAAGTGAAGGAAGCATTTGTGCAAATTTCAAAAAAATTGAGGTCAAATAACTTAAGCAGGAGTGACTGCAAACTAGAAACTTAGCCCTGCTTCCTTCTGAGTTTCCTTTTTTAAAAAAATAGGAGCCAAAAAATGAAATGAAGCAAAACAGAACCGTTCCCTTGGGACCAAGATACAATGTGAGAATAATGGAAAACTGTTTTTTCTTTTCTAAGAAGTTATGGAAAATATCTGATTATTTGTCCATTTAACATTATTATGCAGGCATCGTTTTGTTGGTTTTGTTTGTAAGTTTTTCATCTCTGTGACAAAATAAAAATCTAAGCTAATCAGTGTAATAGAGAAACAGTTTTCCGTAGCTAGTGGTTTCAGAGACCTTTGTCCAAGGTCACTTGGGCTCACTGCTTTGGGCCTGTGGTGAGGCAGAGCATCATGACAGGAGTGTGGGTGGAGGAATGTTTACCTCATGGTGGTAGGAAGCAGAGAGAGAGGGGTGTATGGTGGGGAAGAGGCCAGGATCCCAATGTCCTCTTCAGGAGCCTTCTCCCAAGTAGGCTTTGCCTCCTACAGCCACCACCATTTGTCAGTAGTGCTACCTTGAAAAGGCAGAGAAATGCCCTCTGCCTCAGTTTTACCATCTGTAAATGAGGATGTAGCCCACTCATAAGTTCAATACTGACAGAAAGGATTTAATAGATGTCACTTATCATTGAAATAAATTTTGTCAAATACATATTTAGTAGAAACATAAAATACAGAAACACAGAAGAAATAAAAATTAGTCAACATTCTAAAACCCAGAGAAAACCTACTTATCCAAGTTTTAGGATTTTGACTTGTCTTTTAAAAATACATTTTCTCTTGCTTGGGATAAGATATTGCATAATATGACATACTCTGTTTATTTGTACCCTCACCTTAAGCATTTTATATAGTCTTCACAAACATTATAACTTTAAAAAGATTACTTTTTAAAATTGATTATGTCTCATCAGTGTACCCACATTTTATCTAACCTTTCCCAAATACTTGAAATTCAGAATACTTTCTGTCTCTGTATTCAATTGATCTAATCAGAAATTAACCTCTGTGAAAACAATCAAGGGCCAGAACTTTCCTGGTATGAGCGGAGCCTACAGCTGCTGTTTTTCTGCCCTAGGATGTTATCAGTACTAACCACAAACCATTAACAGGAAGCTGGCCACAGTATGAACAATCATCTCAGAGATGCCTTATAACAGCAGCTCCTCCCCCCTCCTCTTCCTCCTCCTCCTCTTCCTCCTCCTCCTCTTCCTCCTCCTTCTCCTCCTCCTCCTCTTCCTTTTTTAGTGTTAGAAGTTACTTTCTTAGACTACATTCCAAGAAATAGAAGTGTGTGGTATGGGGATGATAACCGTTATTCTCTAGAAGAGTTTGCATTGATTTTAAACTCACCAGCAGCAACAATGTATGAGCCTGCCTCACTTTCTGTAGGCCTCATATTTGAAATTTTGAGTAACATTTGGCTTCGGCCACCAAAACTCTGGAATAGAGTTAATCCTAATACTGGCACCTGCTCCTTCTCATTTCCTATCACTACTTTCCCCTTCTTCCTGCTGCTCAGCTTTCTCTAAACTCCACATGCAGCTTTCCTCTTCCCCAGTTGGTGGTGGGGATGGTATTATTAGCTCATCCCTTGTGGGGACCTAAAGGCCCCACCTTACATAGGTCCGAAAGGAAATTACTGGGGGCGTGGCCTGGCTTGCTTTGAAAGTCTGAAGGATACTTCCACACTGCTGGGGAGTGCATGATCAGCGTGTGACCATCCTTAAGATACACCCTGGGGGGTGGAGTTCTAGGTGCCTTTATAAGCTCTGTAATACCTGCAATAAATGAGTCCCTGCTTGACTAGACTCCCCATTGTGTCTGAGTGTCCCCGGTACTGGGGGCGGCGTGGGTTGACGAACTGCGTGCTTACTCATCCCCAATCATCACTGCGCCGGGGGTCGCTGGTTCGAACCCCCGGCAATCCCTGTCTCTTAGTTAGTGATTTTAGCAGCTAGAAGTCTTTCACCGCAGGGAGTGTTTGCATTTTTATGAATGGTTCTTGGAGCCACGATGGACTCACAGGACAGAATATGATGGGGCTGATGGGGACATTTGGGGCATTGTGGTACCCAGAGAGGAAAAAGCCTTGAGTCATACAAGCCAGTGGTGTCTTCAATATAAGGTCAGTGCTATGGATGGAGGGAGTGGACCCAGGCCTTGAGAAGCCTCACTGTCCCCTCTCCAAGGCACCGACTCAGAGTAGAAACATACTTTGCTAAGGTGAATTGCATCTCTGGGAGGAGCTATTAAGGAGGAATTGTTTATGAAGTGGATGCGAAAAGAATGGTCAGCAACATGCTCAGATTCTTTACATATAACTTTATGACACCAGGCAGGGCTCCTTTTATGGCGTTTGTTAATCACATGCTTGAAATGGCTCAAGGTATGGAAGGCCCTTGCTTGCGCATCTAATTAATTTGATTAAATTGCATGCTCCTGGGCAAGCAGAGCCAGGGATCTGGGCTGAATACCTGGTCAGAATGCATTTTGAGTGGCAGAGGGCAGGGCTCTTTCCACACTATTGCTCTTTCATCAGGACCGCAGGTACTCTTTACAGCAAGGATGGTTACAGGTCTCTAGTAGTGGACCTGGACATCGAATTTAGTGGTCTCAAAAACCCAAAAACTATTCGAGTATGTCTGTGAGGAGAATGGGAGACAGCTGGGGAGAACAAATGGTACCCTGGATGGACAAGGGTGGGTAGAGACACCTGATTAGTGAGATCCTGAAGGGGAAGGGATGCCTTATCCAAGCCAATCCTAGATGGCATGATAGAAGGGGGAGGGGGAAGAAGGGATGCTTACTCACTAGCCAGCCATAAATCTAGGGCTCTTAGAAGGCCTGGGGACCCCAGCTAGATGGAAAGGCTGTCTTTAGAGAAGATGGTAGATACCAGCTGGAGCTGACCTGGTGCCACCCCCTCCTCCCCTTCCTCTGGACATACAGTAGTCTTTACTTGGTGCTCATAACCTCATCTGCTTCCTTCTAGCCTGATCCAGCCTGATGATGGCCCCACTGGTTGCTGTGGTATCCAGTCCCCGTGCCCGGCTCCTTACCTGCTTCCTCAGGCTGGGTGCTCAGCAGGCTGGACCCCTCCAGCTACACACCAGGACCAGTTGCACAGCCAAGAACCACTATGAGGTTCTGGTGCTGGGTGGGGGCACTGGGGGGATCACCATGGCCACCCGAATGAAGAGGAAAGTTGGAGCAGAAAATGTGGCCATTGTTGAACCCAGTGAGGTAAGTGCTCCTTTTGGAACGTGTGAGAATATGTGTGTGTGCTAGGGTGTAGGGGTGGCTTTTGTGTTTCCTGGTTAATGCTTTTCCTGGGCATAAAAAGCACTGGGAGAAAGTGGAGGGTGTGTGAGAGTAAGGACAGGCTTCTGGCTTTTTGTGTCTCTTCTGTTCCAGCTCTTAAGGGATGCCATGGCAAATTGCTACGATGTGAGTGGTTTAAAACAACAAACATGTGTTCTCTCACAATTCTTGATACTGCAAGTCCCAAATTATTGAGGTAGGCAGGGGAGTTCGCTCCCCTCCTGGATTTTAGTAGCTGGCAGCCATTCTCGCTATCCCAGGCTTGCAACAAGGTTGGCCCTTGGTCTTCACCCTCACATGGTAGCTTCTGGGCATTTTTTCTATGTGATCAGGTGTTCACATAATCTTCTTAAAAGAACATAGTTGAAAGGCTTTTTGCTGTCTCTTATTCAAGTATGACCTCATTTTAACTTGACCAAATCTGAGAAGATCCTATTTCCAAATAACATCACAGTCATAGGACCTAGTCTTAGAATGTCAACATACCTTTTTAGGAGCCATGATTCACCTGATGATACCCTCCACCTCAGTCTTCTGTCCAGAAGGTTAATCAGTGGACCGTGTCCCTTCCTGTATCTTACTTGACTGGGGAAGGGATGACGAGATAGAAGCAGGGGACCTCTGGGAAATTGTCAGTGGATTTGAGAAGTTAGGTCCAAGGTTATGAACAAATCACAAAGGAGAAAAGGTACTTGATTCTAGGCAGGAAGACAAAGTGAGGCACTGGTTCATGAAAAGCATTTTGGGATTACAGAAGCTTCAGAGAAATATTCAAGATTTTTGATGATTTGCCTATTTCCCAGGGGGAGGAAGTAGGTCTGCACTGGCTGGGAGCTGTATCCTTGGGAGAAAAAAGCCAAGTAGGCATGTCTGAGTTGAAAGAGGTGGGCAGGATAAGAAACGTGTTTCTTTTCAGGGTAACAGGGAATGAGGCTCCCATGGGCTATGATGGGAGAGGAAATAGTGGTTTTCTTAGTCCCTTTCCTTTTTATAGTCCTTTCAACTCAGGGAGACCACTTCAAATGATAGTGTATCTGAGAGCTGTCACGTGGTCTTCCCTGGTGTCTGTTCTATTGGGACTAAATCACAGTCTCCCACTGGCACTTCTTTTTGTAATGGGAATGGCTCTCCTGGGGGACTGGGCAGCTTTGTCTGTGCTGCTCTGTGAGGGAGAACTCAGGGAATCTTTCTTGAAAGAGCTGCCAGTGTCCTGGCACCTTTTGGCGCCTCCCCTGCTGTGTCTGATTGCTGGACCTGATATTTGTAGACTGAAAAAACTCTGGAGCTTATATTTTCGTTCCACTTCCTGTTCAAGATGGACTTGAAATTGATGAGCTCTCACAGCTGGAGACCTCTGCCCTCCTCCTTCATGATCACAGCCAGTATTGACTTTAGGGAGATTGCAAACCATTCTTGGATACTCTTTATACCCCTCTGGGTATTAGCTGTTCTGTCCAGTCAGTTTGAAGCATTTTGGCAATATTGAGAGTTTTTGGTTCCCTGGTCCATGAAGCCAGTCTACCGTTTGCCCCGAGCCTAGAATTTTCACAACAAATGTAAATTAAGACTATACTATGAGAAGCAAGGGAACTCCAGAAAATCATGAGACTTTATCTGTGCATTGCTCTGTGGAGAAGGGTCTGGCACCTATTGACTTCCGATGTGCAAACTCTGAGAAAGAAGAAGAGAAACAGGCCTGAAGTGTCTGCAGTTTTTCAGGGGAGCACAGCTTGAAGTCAGTGAAATTTTGAGGCTGCCCAGAAGCAGTCGTGAACTTTCCAGATTTGCTTAATTCTCAGATTTCTAAGATTTCTTGATTGGCGGTTATCCTTTAGAGTTAACTCATTAGAAGACAGCAACAGTGGGGAATGAACCCTATGGAGGCTTTTCTGTGTAATGCTCTGAGTGTCAGGAGGGATTAATTAAGAGAGTCTATTTTGACTGTCTTCAACTAAAACTTTTTAGATAAGGCTCAAATTGAAACAAATGTCCTTAATACTTTGTTTCTCAGCGACACTTCTACCAGCCAATTTGGACGTTAGTGGGTGCTGGTGCCAAGCAGTTATCCTCATCGGGCCGTCCCACAGCGAGTGTGATGCCATCTGGTGTGGAGTGGATTCAGGATAAGGTGGCTGAGCTGAACCCAGACAAGAGCTGCATTCGCACGGACAGTGGCAAGGAGGTAACCATCAGGTTCAATGGGATTTTTTTTTTTTTTAATCAGAGGGCGATATTGATACATGGCCATGGTCAAGTTGGATGCTTCATGATGGAAGATGGCATAAATCCCTGTGCTTGTAAATAAGCCTGTGTAATGACAACTGTATGAAGTGACAGTGGGTGGTAAATGGAGACCAAGCAGAAGGATTGAGTGGCATTGAATTAATAAATAAACTAAAACAAATATCTTTTGACCATTCACTGATGATAGTGAACCCTACTGACTAGTATAGGATCGCATGACTGAATTTTTATTGAGCAAATGCTATTGCTATGTTTTAAAATGGCGGGTGCTTTCTTCCTCTCCTTTGAAGTAAGCTGGTATTTCTTCCTGATGTCTGGCTTTCCAGAGGAATAAAATTTTGGTAAATATCCATCCTAGTCACAGTAGGGGGCACCCTGCCAGACAGGGGAATCTGTGACTAAGGTTTGTTCTGCATCTAAGGAAAAATGCTGCTGCCAGAACTTGAAGCTCGAGTTTCTTGGCACTATTTAGAGGCCGTCCCCTACCCCAGACTCAGGAGTCAAGGCTTTTCAACAACTGCTTTTTTTGACCTAGGGTCTGAGAGCAGAATGGTGAGACCACAGGCCCCGAATCTACTTGCAGCTTCATGCTGTCTCATTGGATGCTAAGTCCAGACAGCAGCAGCCAGTCAGCTCTCCAGGGGCTCACCCATGCCACAGGCTCCTCCCAGAGCTCCCTGAGCATAATGCCCATGATGCTTTATGGAAGTTGGCAAGGCATACAGAAGTCATGCCTAGCCCACTATATGGAGCTTCCTAGAGGATAAAGGTTACATCTTTTCCTTATTGTCCTGTAGTCACTAGATTAAAGGAAAGGAACTCAGCAACACTTTCTGGATGAATGGATAAATGGATGAACTATTTCAACTGCTTATAAAAAATAGTTTCTCAAAGTGAACAGATAATAAAACCATCCTAATTGGTGCACTCTGCCTACCCATAGAATCGACTCCTTGACATTCTTGGTTCTGTAGGGAAACTGGTAGGTGAGAGGCTTGGGGTCTAGGATGATGATCTGCAGGTGCCACACAGAAGCACTGCCAATGAAAAGAGCTTGTGGGTTGTGCATACCCTGGTGGTTTTATTAGAATGTAATATTGATTATTTCTAAGGATTAGGAGACAGACAAGATTGTGTGAAGGAGGTCATTAGGAAATAATGAACCCTAGATAGAAACAGAACAAAAAGAAAGCCTCAAGCCTTTGAATGACATCAGATTTCCAGGCTGGATGATCTAATCTTTGAGGAATTGCAAAGCTTGTAGACAAGACTTTTGAGCAATTACAGAGAACAGCACGGACCTTGCCAGAAGGCTGAATATGGGCAAGTGTTCTCATTACATAAGGGGGCAAAAGAGGTAAATCCTATAGTGAAGAACCTAGTAAATCAGTTGCTGAACCCTTGCAAGATTCTAGGCTCACCTACTAAATAAATGCCAGGCAGTAATCTAGAAAAAGAAGAGAGACAACAAAGGTTCAGACATGAGAAACCTCTCAGGGACTAAGATCTGTGCCAGCTCACAGTGAATACTCAATAAATATTTCCTTTCCTTTTTAATGTTCTTTTAAAAATAGTAACAACATTTCTTGAGCATTTGCTGTGTGCAAAGACTGCTCTAAGTACTTTAGAGATTTCTATTCATTTAGCACCCAAAACAACCTAGCAAAGTAGGTACTATTGTCATCATTTTACAAATGAAGAAACTGAGACAGCTCCTTTGCCAGTATTCCCAACACCTTCTACGTGCTGGATGTATTCTGAATACTAAGCGTACATTGACAAACAAAATAGTTCCTCTACTTCAGGAGCTCAGTCTAGCTGGAGAGATGAGTTTCAGGTAATCATGTAAGTAATTACTAAATCACAGAACATGGCAACATGACAAGAAAGAACTTGTTCAAGTTTGTTGGGTCAAGGAAGCCTTGCCCAAAGGGATCCTTTCTAAGCTAAAGGTGAGTAGATAGTAGCTAGGGTTAGAGAGGTGAGCTATTCAAAAATGCCCAGGGAAAGAGGGAGGCAGAGGCATTTGAGGAAATGAGATGCCAGTGTGGCAGGAGTGGGAAGGGAAAGAACAGAGGAGCCAGGCAGACAAACACTCTGGGCCAGGGCAGTGTCAGAGACACGGTGAGTGCAGGCCTTCACAGTGCCTACTACATACCCATTTTTCATCTAGTGTGTAAGACAGGAGAATGAAAAGTAACAATGGAATGATTTGGTAAATTGAATAATGTTTGCTGAAGAACACTTATCAATTTATGCAGTCTAAAGAAAGCTCTCTAGGGACATGTCACAAAATCAAAACTTGAACTTAAATGAAGCCATCTGTGGAGAATTGCTAAGTGGGTGGCAAGAATCATAAACCCAAATGACCCAGACATGTTGGGAGGATGAACTAAAACCAACACGATCCTTCCCTTGAGATGCTATGTACTGATTGCTGATCCTGCATCGAGGCAGTACTTTTGCTTAATAAAATCCTAGAAGAAAGGTCTGTCAGATATCACCAACTTCCTCCAGTTTCACTGGTTTTCTGACATTATAAGTCACCAACAGGGTACAGTAATGAGACTATTTACTAGAACCTGCAATTCTCAAGAGATGAGGAAAGTTTATAATCCTCAAGATCATGAACCCCATATAGAGACATGAGGAATTCCTGGACCTTCAAATGGTCTAAGTGGTGCAGACTTTTGAAGCAAGAGGCCATGCATGTTATTGAGGAAACCTTCTGGCCTGTGAGCTGGAGCATGCCAGGTAAAGGTCAGTCTTGTGAACTAAGAGTGTTCATGTGTAGTTAAATCTTTCTCCCGGAAATGCTTAGGAAAATAAGGGATGGTCTGAGCCATCAGCAGAGGAGCAACAACATAGAAACATTTTTATAAAAATACAAATGAAGGGGGCTGGAGAGATGGCTCAGCGGTTAAGAACACTGGCTGTTCTTGCAGAGGACCCGGGTTTGATTCCCAGCACCCAGATGGCAGCTAATAACTGTCTGTAACTCCAGTTCCAGGGGATCTGACAGCCTCTGCTGTCCTCTGTGAGCATTGCATGACATGGGTGCACTTACCTACATGCAGGCAATACATGCATACACATATAAACAAAATAATAAACAAATGAAATATATATGCAAATATATTTACTTATATGTGTTTTGTATACCTTCCTTCTTGTTTTTTGGTAACATTAGTAACAACTACCCTGTTCAAAGAGGGGAAACCTGATCTAGCAGTGGGTCACATGGAAAGGACCCGGAGTTGTGAATTGACCTTAAGCTCTGTATGAAGCAGCACTGTGCTGTCACTGAAAGGGCAAACACAGCACCTAATTGTGGAAGAGAACAGTCCTGCTGATTCTAGCCTGTTCTGTAGCATTCCTGTCCCTTCCAGGCATTTTGTTCATGAAGAAATGAGTAAGCCAGATGATGTTCTAGGAAGGGTAGACTGGGAACCGGGAGGACTGGAAATGAACTAGGGAGAGTTGAGTAACATGGGGACAGAGGACAGATCCACCTGAAGGGATACCTTAAGCAGAATTAAAGAGCCTTCTGCACATACCTACAGATGATATAGTTGTATACAGAAGAGACCCCAAAGCCTCCATCAGAAATCTCTTAGAGCTGAGACTCACTTTCAGCGAAGTGGCAGGATAAAACAAAAACAAAAACAAAAACAAAACAAACCCAACACACAAAAAGTCAGTAGCCTTTCTATATACAAATAGCAGAGTTCTTGACAGCAAAACAAAGGGATCATCCCTTTCATAATTTCCTCAAAAAAATACCTTGAAAAAAAAACCAAGGAACTGAAGATTTCTATAATGAAAACTTTAGACACTAAAGAAAGAAATTAAAGAAGACTCTAGAAGATGAAAAGACCTCCACTGCTCATAGATAGGAAGAATTAATATTGTGAAAATGGCTTACTACCAATGGCAGTTTACAGATGTATACTGTAACCCCACTAAAATTTCAATTCCATCAGTCACGGAGATAGGAAAAAAAAAGTCTTAAAGTTCATGTAGACTCATAAAAGACCCCAGATAGCAAAAACAATCCTGTTCCAAAAGAATAATACAGGAGGCATCACCGTGCCTGATTTCAAGTCGTATTACAGAGCCAGAGTAGCAAAAACAGCACGCTACTGGCACAGAAAAAGACGCATAGATGAGTGGAATAGAGGACCCAGACGTAAACTCACACAACTTCAGGCACCCGAATTTTGACAAACGTGCCAAAACTGAAAGACGGTCTCTCTTCAACAAACGGTGCTGGGGAAACTGGATTTCTATCTATAGAAGACTGAAACTAGATCCTTATCGCTCACCCTGTGTAAAAATCAATTCTATATGGATCAAAGACCTTAATGTAAAACCGGAAGCTCTGAACTGTAAGAGGAAAGTGCAGGGAAGCACTTCAATATACAGGCATAGAAAGGACTTTCTGAACAAGACCCTAGGGCTTCAGGAAATCAAAAAAGCAATTTACAGCCGAGACCTCATGAAATTAAAAAAAACTACATAGCAAAGGAAACAATTGAGTGAAGAGACAGACTACAAATGGGAGAAAAACTCTGTAAGCTATGCATCTGAGAGAGGACTAATATCTAGAATATACAACAGACTAAAAAACTGTACAGTAAGAAATCAAACAACCCAGTCAATAAATGGCTTAATGAAATGAACATACAGTCCTCAAACAATGAAATAGAAATAAACATATAAAAATGTTCAACACCCACTAGACACCAGAGAAATGATAATTAAAACTACATTGTGATTCTATTTCACCAGAGACAGAATAGCAATCGTTAAGAAAATTAAAGATGGGGGTGTGGTGATGCACACCTTTAATCCTAGAATTTGGGAGGCGAAGACAGGAGTGTCTCTATGAGATCCAGGCCAGCCTGGTTTACATGGTGAGTTCCAGGCCATCTGGGGCTATAGGGAGTCTCTGTCCGAATAAACAAAAACCAGAAAACCAAAGATGTGGACAAAAAGAAAGGTAAACTATCCAGACAGGAAATCACTATGGAGGCTCCGTACTGATACACCACGTGACACAGCTGCACCACTCCTGGACACCAAGTCATTACATCACAGAGACACTCATACACCAATGTTTATTTATTTTTTAAAAAATATTTTATTTATTATTCTTGTTTTATGTGTATGAGTGTACTACTTGCATGTATGTAAGTGCAGTCATGTTGTGCAATGCCCGTGGAGGTCGGAGGAGGGCATTGGATCCCTTGGAACTAGAGTTATGGACAGTGGTTGGCTGCCATGTGGGTGCTGAGAATTGAACCTGGATCCTCTGCAAGAACAGTCAGTGGTCTTAACTGAGCCATCTCTCCAGCCCCATACCAATGTTAATTGAAGCACTGTTCATAATAGCTAGGTTATGGAACTAACCTAGGTACCCAATAGCAGAGGAATGGATAAAGAAAATGTGGCATATAAATACGGTGGATTTTTTTCATCCATATGAAAGAGCAGTTATGTTGTTTGAAAGTAAATTGATGTAACTGGAGATAATCATATTAAATGAATTAAGTCAGTCTCAGAAAGTCAAATATTGTATGTTTCTCTTACTTGTGGTTTCTAGATTTTATATGAACACGTAAAATCTTATATGAATGTGTGACACGAAAGTGGAAGAGACATTATTAAGGGAACATAAGGGACTAATGGTTGGAAAGGCAGAGTGTGGAATCTGGATCAGAATGTCCTTAACATGCAATAAATACTTGTATGACTGACTTGTCCTTATCGAACATGGTACCATGTACAGAGAATGTACACAATGGAAATTTAAATAACAAAGTAGAAAAGAAAAAATAATAGTCTTCTTCATAGAGTTGAATGTTTTCATCACAGAGAAAAGACATCTTTTCACATGCTATAGAGCATAGCAAGGAATAAGGATGATATTAAGGGCACTAAGAACAGTACCCTGGGAGCCCAAGAAAGAACCAGGAAAAGGAAAAAAATATAGAAAGTAGATTCTGACTCAGAAAAAGCAGAACTTTCCTATGACGTGTCTATCTAAAACAATGAAAAGGATTCACTTGTTTCTAGAAATCCCCTTGGCTCTAGGGTATGTAAATTCCAAAACATTTTAAGCACAATCCTTCCTCCCACTCCTGCTCACTTAGTGATTTTTTTCCCCATTGATACTCATCAGATTTGCATACAATATAATTTACTCTGGCATATCCTCCCCTGTAGAATATAAATCCAGATGGAAGGGTATTGTCAGGTTTTGTTTACCCATGTGTCCCTAGTGTCTAAAACTATACCTAGCGTTAATCTGGTCCTTAATAAATGTTAGCGGAGTGAGTGACTGAATGAATGGAGGCCAGGGAGTCAAGGATCATGAATGCTGAGGTAGATACTTTGATCAGGATTCAGGAAGGAGCCCAGATTGCCTCTCAACTTACTTAAATGCAAACTTTGGTACATATGTGCATTTTGTAGGGGTGGCTTTTACTTGAGAAAGATCTATGATACAAGTGAAGCTTAAGAAAGCCTCTAGTGGATGGTCCCGCTTAGAGGCAGGGGCTGGAATTGAAAATCCTTTAGTTCACCACCAGCTCTCAGTTTGCAATTCTGTGAAAAGTCCAGTGCCCCCAGTTTGAAGTGACAAGGGACAACATGTGAAGGTCAGTAAACCCTGGACGCCCAAGACCTCTGGGAGCCAGGAATAAGGGCAAAGCGTAAAGGCTGCCTGGCCCCATGTGAAATAAGAACACTTGCCCATATTCAGCCTTCTGCCAAGGTCTGTGCCGTTCTCTGTAACTGCTCAAAAGTTTTGTCTACAAGCTTTGCAATTTCTTAGAGGTTAGATCATCCAGTCTGGAAACTTGAAGTCATTCAGAGGTTTGAGGCTTTCTTTTTGTTCTGTTTCTATCAGGGTTTATTCTTTCTTAATGACCCCCCTCCTATAATCTTCAGTTTGTCTGTCTCCCAGTCCTTAGAAATAATCAATACTGCACTCTAATAAAACCACGAGGGTATGTACAACCCACAAGCTCTTTTTGTTGGTAGTGTTTCTGTGTTTACCTGCAGATCATCATCCTAGACACAGAGCCTCTCACCTGCCATGCCACTTAATGGTTGTTTTCCTACAGAACCAAGAATGCCAAGGTGTCGATTTTGTGAATAGGCAGAGTGCACAGATGAGGGTGGTTTTATTATCTGTTCATTTTGAGAAACTTTATTTCTTTTTATAAGCAACTGAAATTGTTCATCCACCTGTCCATTCATGCAGTAAGCATTGCTGAGTTCTTTCCTTTAATCTAGCGACTATACTAGATTCCTAGATGATAAGGAAAAGATGTAACCTTTATCCTCTAGGAAGTTCCATATAGTGGCTGAGGGCATGATTCCTGTATACCCTGCCAACTGCTATAAAGCATCATGGGCACTATGTTCAGGTTTCTCTGGGAGGGTCATCTGGCATGGATGAGAGTCATAAGAAAGCCAAGCTGCCTTGGAGCCAAGTCTCCTGAAAACCAGGGTGTGCCCTCTTCAGCAGCCTGGTCCTCTCGGCTCCCCAGATAGAGTCGAGCATTCCTGGGTCTCCAGGTCCACTCTTTTTTCAGCTGGGATTTGCCCAGCTTGCTGGCTCTGTTTCTCCGTTTAGTATAAGATCATACCCATGTCTCCTTGCTGGGTTTCTGGATCTTCTTGAAAATGTTTTCTCTCCATATTTAGCTTTTAAAAAATCTTTTTGAGACAGGGTCTCCCTGTAGCCTCAGCTGACCTAAAACTCACTATGTATACCAGGCTGGACTCGAACTCACAGAGATCCACCTGCCTCTGCCTCCCAAGTGCTGGGATTAAAGGCATGCGCCACCATGGAATGTTCTTATATTTTTCATCCTTCTTATGTATGCTTTCTGACCCCAATCTATCTTTCTCTTGATTCTAAACCCGCACATCCATCACCACAGTTGTGAACAGTATGTCTTCAGCATGAAAAATCACAATACTTATTTTGGTCATGAAATAAGAAATCTATCATATCCTTTTCAATGACCTTCAAAGCAACAATTTCCCAATTATGATGTGGGTCCAGTTCTTATGACAGGTTGGATCCACATATTACCCCTAGATTTTAATAGAATGGACAGTTTTTTAAAATTAGGAAGTCACTCACCCACCCTACAATATGAAAGCATTAGCAAGAGCTCTGCACAGAGAACACAGTATCTTTGTTCTTCTCCACTGAATAAAAACAGACACCCCAACATTTCAGAGGCCAGGAGGATTACACAGTATTTGTGAAGCAGTGAGGTGTGTGGCCATAGAAAAGGGGGGAGGAATGGTCACCTGGAGCATGAATCTCTCCCTGCCTGCTCTGCCTACCATTGTTTACCCCAAGGAACATTGGCAGCTGGACACGTAGTGCTGACAGCACAACACGGGAAAGTCAGTCCTTGGGCTGCTGATTTTTGGGTCCTGGTCTAAAATAACTTTTTGTGTGTGTTGCAGATTTCATATAAATATCTTATTATCGCTCTCGGAATCCAGCTGGATTATGAGAAGGTATGGTTTTAAGTTGTTGCTGTGTTACATTGGCTGATTTATGTCGAGATGAAACACTGTATTGGGTTTCTTTATGTTCATTTTGACAGGAAAAACTTCTAAGAGATCCTCTGGCTTTATCTCCCAGTGGTCCTTTTATGATGTAAAAGTCTTCTCTAAGATTCTGTCAAGGATAGCAATGTATTTTAGCTTTAATCTTTAACTACAGTTCACTATGTCTGTACCGTGACAGTATTTCTTGCAAAACAACAACTATTTCCACACGTACAGAAAACCAGCCTTTTCACGTCAAACTGAGTTGGCTGCATTAAAGATTAAGCTTTCCTTTGCAAATCAGATTTAGGTTATGAGTTCTTAAGCTGACATGTTAAGGGCAGAACCAGCAGTTAGTTCATCAGGTTCCAGAAGTGTGTTTGGGTTTTGTTGTGTAGAGGCTGTTTTGGGTATAAAACAGCCAACACAATATAAACGCTTCTCAGATGTCCCTTAGATCTGTATTCGGTGAGCTAGGGAGCCACATACTCACTGACAGTTGTGAGATTCACACTGATTTTCCTAGAACACACAGGGGGAAATTATTCACGGTTACGATCCTTAGGAACTTGGTAGGGATTGTGGGCAAATAGTTACATCACATAAAGCATAGTGAACTGCAGAAACGTGACCCCAGTATGAGCTTCACAAGAGGTGGCCCCAAAAGGGGCTTTGAGGTGTGTTTCTGTGTGAAGAGTCTGGATCATGACATGTGCTGAGTGAGGGTAGTAGAATTGACTTGGGGGATGTATTATATGAAGGTTCCCTAGGGGCTCCCAGTGCCTTGTGAGGAGGGTTGAAGAGGCCAGTGTTGAGAGTTCATTGTGTCCTCTGCTGCAAACTAAGAAACAGCAATATTTAAAGATAGCTATTATTATGAAATTTCTATTACGTGCCAAGAAAGACACTAGTGATTGACACTGATTCTTTACACCTTCTTGTGAGGGAGGTCTGTTTTTCTCCTTTTAGTAGATGAGGAAACTGAGGCTAAGGGAATGAATGTTAACCATGGCTACACTGCTGGGCACTCTTTGATTGCAAGACAACTACTCAGGTAAATGTAAGCCTCAAAGAAGGCAGCCATTTGAAGATACTGAGATGCCGTGGCAGGAGTGCGGTGGTCTCTGATAGGGCCAGGTATCTACTTTGGGTTCTGTTGGATATAGGCTGTACCGCTCTGCCCATCCGCCTCAGTCTCCTTCTCATGTCAGCTCCACACGGTATTTGCAGCATAGTACCCTGTTCACTGGTTTGTCTCATATGACAGACAGAACAGTCCTCAGCTCCCAGCACACAGCCCACTACTGTGCAACCAAAGGGTAGGCCCATTTCATCTCCTCCCTGATGCTCACATGTCCCCTCTATGTTCCCATGCTTCAGAGTTCTCCAAAAGAAATCAACTCTGATTGATGAGGGGTCATAAATCATACTTCATCATACAGGACTTCCTGGAAGGAATTTGGTTAACAGGTTACGGCACCTTTTCTCTTAACCACAGAGTCTCTGGATTAGAGAGAGATAATGCAGGCGATAAGACATCATTTGTGTTTATTCCTCAATGGTAGGCATTATTTTAGAAACCAGGAGGTTATCATGGTCCTGTGGAAAGACCTCATAGGTGGGAGGTCAGAGGCCTGAGCCTATAGTTCTGTGAGATTCTGTGTAGGTCTCTTAGCTCAGTTTTCTCATCTGTTCTATGGGCTGTTAACATTTTCTACCTTTGGCAGATATATATGGTGAATCTTAGTATGGACGTGAAACTTGAAAACATTAAAATGCACAATTTCATCATCATGAACCTTATTACTTTTTAAAACTGCTAACAATACTATTTGTAGACTGGACACTGGTTCAAGTCCATCTAGTGGGGTCTCCATGGCCTCCCTGAACAAGAGGACAGGTGACTCACTACAATTACAGGACATTTTGAGAGATGCTCCATAGTCCCCTGGTACTTAGTCAACCTTGGGGGGCAAGGAGCAAAAGAACTGTCCTTTATGTCCCTCTGATCAGATTAGTATAGGCTTCAAAGTATGGCTGTTAAACATCCAAGAAGGTTAGTTCCACCAGTCTGATACTTTTAATTACCATGTGCTATGCAGATAAAGCTTGGGAAAAAAACAAAAGTTCTCAGATAAACCTTGACTAGACATATATTTTGTTCCTTGAACTAGTTGACTAAACTATGACCTTAGAAATTTGAAGATTATGTGTATATTATTTTTGTCTCATCCTTTATATATCATAACAAACCTACATAGACCTTCATTACTTGCTTAGGCTTTCTCATTTTTTCTGTATATTTTGGAAAATAGCTCCATTCCTATATCCTTCTAACACCTTTTACATTCTCATTTTCTTTTTTAATAATTATGAGACATAATAACATTAACAAATTTTCCATCTGTTGTGAGAATTCTTTTCCTGGGTATACGAAGCAATGCTTATCCCCTTTTAAGCTTCTAGTGTCAAACCAATGTTTAGTTAAAGTTTCCTGGAAAACCAATGGATTTACTGAGTTTACTTACAGAGATGACTGAGAGGTTGCTGGGGTGTATGAGTGACCTGGGGGTATGCACACTGAAAAGCCTTTAGCCAGCATGGATCAAGCCTTCTTGTCCCAGCCTTCCCCAGATTATATACTTTAGCGCCCCCGCCAAATCCAGGAGACCATATGTGATTAGGGCCAATGATTAATAACAAAGGAACAGTTGCTGTTCCCAATGAATGTGGATAAATAATGAACCTGGACCACTGATGGATTCTGTTCCTAAAGGGAGAGGGATGAGGTATGTGGAGTGATTTCTGAAGCAAGCTCATCTCAATGATGGTTTTTCATTTTTTCTTTTGTGTGTGCTGCTGGGAATCAAACCCAGGGCCTTGTGCATGCTTGGAAAGCTCTTTCTCGGTGAGTTACATCCCAGCTCATGATGATGGTTCTGGATGACTGCGTTCGAGTCCACTGTTGCTGGGAACTGGTACTTAGATCTCTCTAGCTCATTCTGTAACATCTTCACTGCTGTCTAGGAATGTTCTGACTTTTAGGATAACTATTCAGTTAATCTTATTGACAGCAATGATCCAACATGGGGCACTTAGTGTGTACATGGGTCATTTCCCTACACCCTTTATATATGCCTCTTTTACTCCTACAAACAATCCTACAGAACAGATAGTTTTATGCCCATTTTATAGATGTTAAACATAAGCACACATGCACACACATGTAAATCTAAAATCTTGAATTTTCAAATGAGGAACAAACAGCTGATGTTTGTTTTCCTGAGTCTGGCTTACTTTGTTTAATATAATGATCTCCAGTTGTAGTCATTTTCCTGTGAATGCCATGATTTAATTATTCTTTATGACAGAATAGAATTTCATTGTATATGTACTTCAATTTTTTTGCATTCATCTAAACAAATTTTCTGTGTGTTTGGTTGCAGATTAAAGGACTACCTGAAGGTTTTGCACATCCCAAAATAGGGTCCAATTATTCAGTTAAGACCGTAGAGAAGACGTGGAAAGCCCTTCAGGACTTCAAGGAGGGAAATGCCATTTTTACCTTCCCAAACACTCCAGTGAAGTGTGCTGGAGCTCCCCAGAAGATCATGTATCTATCAGAAGCCTATTTCAGGAAGGTATGCTTCCTCTTCAGGACAGAGAGGAGATGGGCAGATGGCACCAATTCAGTGGTTGCCTCAAATTCTATTTTATCGCTGTCATAGGACTTTATTTCTTTTTTGTTTCTTTTATTGTTTTTTTGTTTGTTTGTTTGTTTTTGACAGGGTCTCCCTAGTCCCAGTCCTCCTGGAAGTCACTATGTGGACCAGGCTGGACTTGATCTCATAGAGATCTGCCTGTCTCTGCCTCCCGAGGCCTGGGATTAAAGGCGTGTGCCACCACACCTGGCATTATTTCTAAATTCTTATTATATGTGTGCACATTATATACTTGGAGCTGGAAGAGATCATTCATAATGCAGTTTCTATAATAAAGCTGCTGTCACAAATTTGAAGATTTTTCTATAGGTGTTTTTTTACAGACATTAAAATATATGGTTACAATCATACTGTATATACAAACTTAAATATGTTCCATGTTATTAAATAGTCCTTGTGACATACTTTTTAATATGTGTATAAAAGCCCACTGAAAAATAATGTTAGAGATTGTTTAAATACTTTCATATTTGTAGTTGGACAGTTAATAGTAAATTACCCATTTTTATATATAATACCACTCTCAATTGTTTTCACTGAAGCTCAAGTTTATGAATATTTGCAAATAGAAGAAGCAAAATGCCAATTTTAAAGGGAAAAAATACTCTTTTGGAATTTAAAAGTTCTATGGAAAGAGGTTAGTTTTAGATGAGGGCAAGAAAGGCTTGCCTCTGAGTAAGAGCTGGTGCCTGCAGTTGGAGCACAGCAGGCACTGGGCAGTGAGGGAACTATTCTTGCCCTCTCTGCCCTTTACTGAATGGGCATTCAGCTCACTGAGGCATGATTTGACTGGAGACACTGACAGGACCCAAAGAGGTCTGGGCTTCAGTAAAAGGACAGAAGGGGAGGAGTGGGCCAGTGAGTTGAGGATTTGGCACTGGCACTGGGCAGTGTCTCCACCTGAGCTCTGTGAGCTGCAGCAGTCCTGTCGGGTGGGCCAGTGAAAGCCGGTTTCAGTGATTGCTCCAGACCCTGAGAACTCTCATTCCGGATAGTAGCATTTGCCACAAACTTTTGAAGTTCTACGACCTCACTTCTGAGAAGAAGCTGGCAAGCTCTTTACTGAGGTTAAAAGAAACAAAAACAAAGCACTACCTGGCGTAATTCTCTGCTCTCCTTTTTTTTTCTTTCTTTTCTTTCCATTTTCTTAGACTGGAAAGCGATCCAAGGCTAATATCATTTTCAACACGTCTCTTGGAGCAATTTTTGGGGTTAAGAAGTATGCAGATGCCTTGCAGGAGATCATCCGAGAAAGGAACCTCACTGTTAACTACAAGCAAAACCTTATCGAAGTCCGAGCTGATAAACAAGAGGCTGTTTTTGAGAACCTGGACAAGCCTGGGGAGACCCAAGTGTTTTCAGTGAGTGGGAGGTTAAGCGGCCTGGAGAGTTAGCTGTTGCTGTGTGCTGTGGAAGGGGGTCTCACACTGTTGCAGCTCCTCCCTGTCATTGCTTGCTGGGGAAGGTGGGTGGCAAATAGCACTCGAGGGTGGTGAGGGGGCATGAAGGGGGACCAAAGTGGACAAGATGGGAGAGGCTGTGTCAGCGGGGGGTGAGGAGGCTTTGTCTACTGGGGCCAAGTGAACTCAACGTTTGGTGGCACTGAGTCACCTGGAGCAGTCAAAATTATTTAACAACTTCACTTATTTCCTGGAGAGTTTAGGGAGGGCTCCTCAAATGCAAGGTCCCCCATCATTTCAACCTTTGATGAACAGGATGCAAGCTGTGTGTAGTTCAAGGACATTAGGGGTGTCTTTCACCTGTGGCAGAAGCTGTCCATCATCAGTGTGTACATCCAGCCTTCAAGGAACCCGGCAGAGCTACTACATTTCTCCTTCTGGCAGATCCAACCTGTGTTACCTGCACTTAGTCTTTTTGTAATTGTTTCCTTGTCCACAAAATGGGAATGGTGCTTATAGAGGAATTAGAAAGATTAAGCACAATTTGCAAGGGTATTGGGAAATATTTGTTCACATCATTTTGGCATGAGCTGTAGCCACAAGAAAGCATGGCACAGCTACATTTTACTGCGTTCAGTGATAAAGGGTTCCATGGAAAGGAATTTTGGAAGGAACCAGGGTTTAGTTTTCTAAACATCAGAAATTTAAATTTGAAGCTTTTGAGCTAAAGCTTTTTCTAAAATCTATTGGACCTATCTTTCCTTTCTTAAATAATACAGTAAATATTATTTAAAATGTTACTGATGACTCAAGGACAGACTTTAACAAATTTTTTATTTGGAAATAATCTCAAACTTAGAGAAGTTACAATAAAAGACAAAGAAAATTGTGTCTGCCTTTAGCTGGCTTCATGTGTAGATTCTTACACCATTTACTGTAGTTTTGTCATTTGCTCTTTCTCTGAATCACTATTTCTGTTAATTTTTTCTTTTTTAAAAATATATTTTATTTGTTATTTTTATTTTATATGTATCAGTGTATTACTTGTGTGTATGTAAGTGTGCCTGGGTTGTGCAATGCCTGTGTAGGTCAGAAGAGAGTGTCAGATTCCCCTGGAACTGGAGTTATGGACAGTTGTTAACCACCATGCGGGTGCTGGGACTCAAATCTGGGTCCTCTGCAAGAGCAGCCAGTGCTCCTAATCACTGAGCCATCTCTCCAGGTCCTCTGTTACTTTTCTTAAAGACAACTTATAAGCAGCAAACATTATTCCCCAATCTCTAGATAATCTTTCTAGATACATTTCTCAAGATAAAGGTACTTTCTTTTGTAACCACAGTAGTTATCAGCTTAGTAAATTCAGTATATGGACCATATTTAAAAATTTTATTTATTTTTATTTTATGTGTATGAATATATTGCCTGCATGTATGTAAGTACACCCATGTCATTCAGTGTTCACGGAGGTCAGAGGAGGGCTTCAGATTCTCCTGGGACTGGAGTTACAGACGGTTGTTAGCTGCCATGTTGGTGCTGGGAATCAAACCCAGGTCCTCTGCAAGAGTAGCCAGTGCTCTTAACCAATGAGCCATTTCTCCAGCTCCATGGATGATATTTTTATCTACTATTTGTATACAATTTTGTTGGTTGACCCCCTCTATGTCCTAGTACCTAGTCTAAAGTCAAGTATTGCACTTAATTTGATGTCTCTTTAGCCTTTATTTTTAATTAATTAATTAATTAATTAATTTTATGTGTATGAGTGCATTGCCTGCATGTATGTAAGTGTACCCATGTTGTACAATTCTCACAGAAGTCAGAAGAGGGTGTTGAATCCCTTGGAACTGGACAGTTGTTAGCTACCATGTGGGTGTTGGGAATCAAACCTGGGTCCTCGGCAAGAGCAGTTAGTGCTCTTAACCACTGAGCAATCTCTCCAGCCCCTCTTTGGCTCTTTTCATCTGGGACATTTCCACAGCCTTTCTGTGTCATCTCTGACTGACATTTTGGAACAATACAATCTTCTCACTGCTTTTTTTTTTTTTTTTTAAATAGAGTCTTCCTCCTCATCTCCTGTGATTAGTTTTGGTTCTGCTTTTTGGACTGAACATTTCATAAATAATGCGGTGTTCTAGGGAGTCACATTTGTAAGCACACAGTGCTTACTGGGCTTGTGTTGAGGATGTTTGTTTTGGTTACTAGTCCAGATACATTTCAGTTTTTCCATTGAATAATTACTATTCTTTTTTTCATTTCTACTGACAAAATCTGTAGGGAAGACATTTTCAGATCATGTATGCACCCCATTCTTTAAAAGTTTTCCCCTTAGACTTAGTATCCATTGATAATATTGAACTATCTCATTTTTATTATGAAGATTACAAAATGATGGTCTTTCTGACTCCAGAATTCTGTCTACCCTTACCAGTAAGCTCTTGGCATTTTGGCAATAAGAGCCTTTCCTTTCATGTTAATTAATTAATTGCTGGTATGAAGTCAGGAAATTTTATTTTTCTTCAGTAGTTTATCATTCATTAATGTTTATAGTTATTTTGGTTGTCAAATTTGGTCAGTAGAGGCCCCTTCAAGCTGCCTTCTATGTCCCTGTGACATGTGCCTGCCATCTTTTTGGCACTTCCTTACTGTGTCCCCAGCTCAAGGTCATCATTGTGAGCAGCCCTCACACAGTTATACTCAAAGGACCTACTGGGTCATGTCAGTTGTCATTTTACAAAAGGATCTCTGGTTTTGATTTTTATGTATTTTTGTTGTTTGCTTTCCAATTTTCCTGGCTGTCAGGAAGTTGACTCTTGGGAGCTTCTTCCTTCTACCTTCCGCTCTTTTAAGTTGCTGCTACTGATTTTTTGTTGGCTGAAAAATAAGAGAGCCAAACTTGTAAGTTTTATGTAAAGTGGAATCAAACAGGCTGTGAGTAGCAGGCTGCTCAAAGCCAACTTCTGGAAGAAAAGTGTACACTTGACTAAGGAGCTTGATTTTGCAGTTCCCAGCTGTGCTGTGTGGAATTGAGGTTGTAGGTAGGGACTGGATGAAGGGCTGGGTTATTGTTTTACAAAGTTTGTAAAGTATGAAGATATTCATGTCTCCGTTGAGTTGACAGGATTTTAGGTCAGATATTCTTTCAATTATACTCTTTGGTCTGGAGTGTAAAATAAGGATGGAGAGTTAAAAAATTCCTCTCAGAATTTTCATGTTCAACCAGGATTGAGAACAACCATGCAAAGGATGAAACATAGCCTAAATCCCACTAGACTTGGAAACCTGATAGGGAGCTGTGAACTGATCCAGGTACCTCCATGCTCACTAACAAAGCTGGAGTCAGGGACTCATGCCCACGCCCCGCCCCCCCAGAGAGCCCTTCAAGAGTTCCATTTAGAACGCTAGCTATTTGTAATACTTTCCTAAGGTTAGTTATGCCTACAACCAACAAGCAGTTGAATAAATACATTTCCGCTTTCCGACTTCCAGTGCCATCAGTGATTGTTGCATCCTGATTAGGGCACTGAACACTGGGTGCTGTTGACTATCACAAGCCTTAACGCATTGAAGCTTTTACCCTGACAATATGGTTTGTGAATATTTGAGTCAATGTGTCCTGAAGTGGACTTGCTGATCATTGAAGTTTCTACATGAAATCATAAAAACAAAATGAAAAGAATAGAAGGTATATCCTACAAAAAGTAGAAGACTATTATACAAAATTTAGATGAGTGACAGCCTCAGTGCATGATCATCAAGGACAGCCTTCATTTATGCGTTTGGAAAATTTCCATTCCAACATCCTATACTACACATTAAATTTAGTGCTGGACAAAAGCCCTCTCTTCATTTCCTTAAGGTATCTACAAATTTTATCATTCAGCTTTTCACCTTCTCTTGGTGATAGACACATTCTTTTATGTGTTTTGAGTACTGAGTCATGTTTGGGAGTGATGCTCACCCTCACCAGTGCTTAACGTGGTCTTTACAAGTTTAAGAGACTTTAAACTCCTCCTTCCAGAATAAAACTGAAGAACTCAAACCAGAAAGTACAAGTTGACAGTTGAGGGTCAGAGGAAAAATGAACTAGTGTGTGTCACCTCTCAATATTTAGAAACAATAGGAAATCAATGAATTATTTCAGAATATTAGTGAACTCTACTTCAAGATCTTGGGTTTCTCTGTGTTTTCTGTTGAAGGGATCCCATGGGCTCAGGACAGGGTGATCATTCAACCAAGAGGATAGCTTTTAGTTTCTCACCATCCTCCATGGCAAAATGTAAGTGGAGGGTGTGGCTTGGCAGAGGCACTGGATGCATAGTATGCCATGCACCTGTTGTGTGATATACAGTATAAGGAAGGCGGAAAAAGCTTGTGGGCTATAGACATAGGAAAAAGATGTCAATTTGGATTCTCTTGTTTTATGCAGTATGAAATGCTTCATGTCACACCACCCATGAGCTCACCAGATGTCCTCAAGACAAGTCCTGTGGCTGACTCTGCTGGCTGGGTGGACGTGGATAAAGAAACTCTGCAGCACAAGAAATACCCGAATGTATTTGGCATCGGGGACTGCACCAACCTTCCCACTTCAAAGACTGCTGCTGCAGTAGGTAGGACACGACCAGCTCTGACTCTCCTTCCTTCAAACTGATGTTTCCTTAAGGTACCATCAAAACAAAAGCTTGGTATAAGTAGTATTCCATTCATAATGGAAGACACTTTTGTGGTCTGAAAATGACTGCCTTCCCAAGGCAGAATCAAGTTGTCAATGAACCCAGTGTTTTATGGAGAAGAAAGTAGCTTTTGAGCGCTTTGTCAAAATGCCAAAATAGCATGACCTCACCCACCATAGGGGTTGTTTTCAGGGCAAGATTTACCAGAAGTGGGGCATCACTTCTCAGCTCTCTGGCATTCTTTCTTTTCACATCTCTGTGCTTACATCCATGGTGCTCTTGGCCCTTGATACCAGGCAGGCAGGCAGGCTGTCTCTATTCTACTGGAACCACCGTAATGCTAGCAAAGCATTTGCTTCCCCAGAAAACATGCAAGTCAATGAAAGCCCATAGACCAGAAAATTGTTCTCTTAAGACAAATACATTGGAGCATGTCCTGATTGGTACATGATTAAGATCTCAGCCTGGAAAGCTGAATTTCTTCAGCCTCATGTTCTGCACTAGCAGTGATGGGGAGAATTGGCTTTGGATTCTGTCCTCTACAGACAGGAGCTGTCTTCTGCAGATGCCGTAAGATATGGATCTCCTCATGATGGGTGGAGACAGTTCCTGTAAATTAGGACACCTGTGGAGGAGCATGCTGGGTTACTTTATTTAAACATTAAGAAAAACTTTCTGAGAAATCTACTGCGTGTCCTTATTATTATTACTGGTATTTATCTCTCATCTTTTTAATTTCAAAAATCTCAAACTAATGAAAAAACCCACAACCGTTAATAATATTAACCAATTATTAATGTGTGGTCATATTTAATTCACCACTCTTTGTACTGTTGAAATTTTTTGGTGAGTCATTTGAAAGTACTTGAGACATCATGATACTCCACTTTGCTCATTTAACCTGCACCTCCTAGGAGAAAGTACATATGCCTCCATATCTATAACTTTTATTATGTGTAATAAATTTGACAAAGTATAATCAAATCATCTCATATGAAATGCAGTTTCAGTTTCCTAAGAGCACCCTTGGTGGCCTGTCATATTAGTTTATCTTTGATGAGACTGGTTAGGGAATGTCTGCTGATTTTTTTCTATCATGAAAGCATCTTTTCTAAAACAAATTTAAATCGTATTAATTAATTATTATTATTATTTTGTCTTTTTGAGACAGGATCTCCCTGTAGCCACAGCTGGCCAGGATTTTTCTATGGAGACCAGGCTGACCTTGAACTCACAGAGATCTGCCCACCTCTGCCTCCTGAGTGCTGGGATTAAAGGCATGTGCCACCACACCCAGCTTAATTAATTAATTTATATTACTCAAAGTCGGATCTCTCCTTCCATCCTGTGGGCCCCCATTCTTGTTAAAGCACCTTTACCCACTGAGCCATCAGCCTCTTTTCTCTTGATAATTTGTGGTTAGTGTGTGAGGCCTACTTTAAAAAATATTTTATTTATTGTTTTTATTTTATGTGTATAAGTATATTGCCTACATGTGTGTAAGTGCACTCATGTTGTACAATACCCAAGGAGGTCAGAAAAGTGCATTGGATCCCCTGGAGCTAGAGTTATGGGATGGTTGTTAGCCTTCATGTGGGTGCTGGGAATCGAACCTGGGTCCTCTCCAGACCATGAGGCCATACTTTTAATTCATACACACATTACACGCATTTATGTGGTAGGAATACCTGTTATAAGAGGCAAATATCAATTCAGTGTTTCAGATAGACAATATTAAACATGACTGAACAAATGTTATAAATGAAGTCTTGCTCCCAGTCCTGCAGTCCATATTCCTCAACATCTAGAGATCCCTGTTGTTTTATATCCCTTTAAAATAATCTGTATTTTATTATATGAGTGTATGAGTGCTCCAAAAGTGACTGGACAGTCCTTTCTTGTTTATACTTTTTCCTTTGGTCTTTTAGCCACAGCTGGCCTGGAACTCATTATATAGACCAGGCTGGCCTTGATCTCACAGAGATCCATCTGCCTCTGCCTCTGCCTGTTGTTTATACTTGGGTTGGTCTTAACCCATTTTATCAAAACATTCTGGCAGTGAATGCTTGTCTTTGTTATTTCACACATGTCTACTTGCTTGTGTCTTCAGTGTCAACAACAAGGGTTCCAACTTCCCCCAAGGAGCGCTGCTCTCTCACTGGCTTCCCCAGCCCTGTGACTGCTTCCAGGCCCCACCGCTCTGCTGTGATAGGCGGATTCTCTCCTTTGCCACTGAACTTGGCAGCCTGTGGCAGAGACCCCAGTCTTCCCAGTACAAGATACATATTTTTTGCTTTCAATGACAATCAAAATTTTCCCCAAGGGAAGCAAAACCTTTCCCATAGTGAAGATGACCATTTAATAGTTTGAAGCAGTTGTTGAATTCTCATTTTCTTTGGACTCTTCATTCTAGAACAAACAAATTCATTGCGTTTTGATTTGGGTGCTAATAAACTATAATTTGCAGGCCTGTGGCCCACTTTTGAGTAGCTAGCTAAGAATGGTTTCTGAGGTAAACATTTGTTCAATTTGGTGGTGGGAATACTGATTATTTTACTCATTAAAAAATTATATTATTCTACTAATGAGAACTAATAGACTTATATTACAAAAATTACTATACTTTGATTTTGTCAATAAGGTTTTTTATGGAAATGTGTTTTTTCTTTCCAATCTTGCCATTGCAAAACAAAAACAAATATGTATATATGTGTATGCATATATAAAACATATAAAGATCTCTCTCTCTCTCTCTCTCTCTCTCTCTCTCTGTCTCTCTCTCTCTCTCCCTCTCTGGTCCAGCTGTAGCCAGGCAATACCATAGAGGAGAAAGCCTAGTATTTGTCTAATTGGATATGCCTGGGGCCACCAATCTAGACTGTCTGTGAACAGGGACACAAGGATACCATGGACTCAAGACCATAGGACATGGCACACAGACCAAGCTGATAGTCACAAACCTCCAAGAGCATGGGGAGTGGGATTGGTGTAGGACCACTCTTTCAGTCCTCTCAGAGAGAGCTGGCTCCTTAATTTCAAACTAACAGAGACAGCTGTGTTGTCTGATGCACTGAAGGAGAGCTTCTGGTAGGCAGAACTTCAAGTAGTAAGAAGATCTAGAGGCCTGGGGAATGGGCACTTCAAAACTTGTTTACATTAAAGTCATTTGAAAGTTCGTTTTCATGGACAATCTGATGCCTGTATTCATTTGACCTTTCCATTCTCTTATAGCTGCCCAGTCAGCAATACTTGATAGAACAATTTCTCTGATTATGAAGAATCAAACGCCCGTGAAGAAGGTTAGTTTAGTATGTCTGTAACAACATTAGTATGTCTCAAATTGCCATCTTCCCTTCTGTGTGAAGTAGTGTTCTTCCATAATTCTGTAATTTTTCTAATGAGTTTCTTGCATAAGCGGAATTTAATTTTTGCCTTTCATATTATTTTTCCATTACATAATTTACATTTTTCACAGTATTAAAATTGCAACACACACAAAGAAAAAAAATTACAGCCACTCTGAGAAAATAATAAATTATAGAGTTTCTAGTTTATACCACAACCAAAAGTACTTTCTTGCTCTTTCTACCAATTTCAGTATGATGGCTACACTTCTTGTCCACTGGTGACTGGCTATAACCGTGTGATTCTTGCGGAATTTGACTACAGAGCTCAGCCCCTGGAGACTTTCCCCTTTGATCAGAGTAAAGAACGACTTTCAATGTATCTTATGAAAGCCGACATGATGCCTTTCCTATACTGGAATATAATGTTAAGGTGGGTTCCTCATCTGATCTTTAGGCGGAGGACATCCCTTTGGTATACTGCACCAACTTGTGCAAGGGGGCTGTTTCAAAGGGGCCTTCCACTCAGTGCAGGGCTTGCTGGTGGGCTCTACTCTGCTGTGCCATTTCTCAAAATTAATGACAGTAGCCTCTGAAGGATTCCCAAGCCTCAGTCACTCTCAGGAAAGAGGGATGTCCTGGGGGAGGGAAGGGGTTTGCAGCAATCTCTCTTTTGTGGGACTGGAGACTCTTCATTATTGGCAGTAGTGAAATCTTCTACCTTGCGTGCTCTAGCCTCTAGTTTTTACTTCAGCTTTTATTTTTTGATAGTGTCATACATGAGGACTGTATATCATTCCCACCCTCCCCTCCAGCTCCTGCAAAGTTCCCCCAACTTCCTCTCAGTATCCTGACCTCTTCTTTAATTATTATTACATGATTATCTATCTATCTATCTATCTATCTATCTATCTATCTATCTATCTATCATCTATCTATCTATCTATCTATCTATCTATCTATCTATCTATCATCTTCTATCATCTATCTATCATCTATCTATCATCTATCTATGCCTACCTATCTATCTATCATCTATCTATCTATCTATCATCTGCCTACCTATCTATCATCTATCTGTCTATATCTATCTATCTATCTATCTATCTATCTATCTATCTATCTATCTATCTATCTATCTATCTATCTATCTATCTATCTATCTATCTATCTATCTATCTATCTATCTATCTATCTATCTATCTATCTATCTATCTATCTATCTATCTATCTATCTATCTATCTATCTATCTATCTATCTATCTATCTATCTATCTATCTATCTATCTATCTATCTATCTATCTATCATCTATCTGTCTATATCTATCTATATCTATATCTATATCTATATCTATATCTATATCTATATCATCATCATCTATATCCATATCTCAACCTACTGAGTCCATTTAGTGGTGCTGGTATGTACATGTGTTTCAGGCTGACCACTTGGAATCAAATAATTTATCAGGGAGTTCGTCCCTGGAGAAAACTGGTTCTTCCTCTCTTAGCAGCCATTGATTATATATAGCTCTTCACCTAAGAGTGGGGCCTTGTGAAATTTCCTTCATCTATGTTGGCATGTCAGCTAGTGTTGTCATTATGCAGGTCTTATTTTGGCAACCATATTGGTGGTGAGATGTTATGGGTACAGCCTCTTTGTCCTGTCCAGAAGACACTACCTAGCAGCAGGCATCGTGGCTCTCTGGCTCTTACAATCTTTCCACTTCCTATTTTATGATGTTCCCTGAGCCTTAGGTGTGAGGGTTGCATTTTAGATGTATCAATTGGGGTTGGGTACCCAATGGTCACTAATTCTTTGCATTTTGATAAGTTGTGGCTCTCTGCCAATCATCTGTATCTGTTGTGAAAAGAAGCTTCTTTGAGGAGGGGGGAGTGCTACACTTATTTGTGGGTTTAAGGGTAAGTATTTAGAATATAGTTATAAATTATATTGGTTAGGTTATTGGCAGGAGTAGATTCTCCTATAGATCTATGATATCTGCAGCCACAGATAGTTGGTTAGGCTTATAGTACTAGGCATGAATTCCCTCCTATTGAGTGGCCCTGAAGTCCAATTAGACAAGTTGTTGGTTTCCCTCAGGATAAAAGTGTCACTACTGTACCATTAGGGCTATCTTGCTGTCCAGGCTTCTATTGCTGCTGGATAAATTAGATAAATGATGGTGATGATGATGATGATGATGATGATATAGAAAATCCTTTTCACATGACAAGTACTTTCTCATCTGCTACCTTACCTTTTATTTTTGTTGTGTTTGGGAAAAATTAAAGTAATTAAGAAAGCATAGACTTTAGATTTTGACCTATGTTTGTTATGTTTTTATCATTCAATAGTTGTGCAAGTTGATTAAGCTAGTTTCTTATCTGAAAAACGAAAATAGCATTAAGGAGATGGTGTATGAAGAGACAGAGATAATGGTAGGCAGTCATGAAGTATACTAGCACAGATAAATGATTTGTCATCCTCTCTTACAAAAATGGTATCTTTCGACTTTTCCAGACACACAGGAGACTGGTAAGTCGGGACATCTATACCAGTGATCCTCAACTAAGGATGAATTTGGGGACATTTGACAGTATTTGGAGACACAACTGGAAGAATGCTATTGACATCTAGTGAGCTGAGGCCTGGAAACTGCTAGATATCATGCAGTACACGGGGCAGCTCTCATAATAAGCAATCGCTGGATCTAAAATGACAATCATACTGAGGCTGAGAAACTTCTCTCCTTTAAAGTCATAAGCAAGAAAAAGCAAAGCAAAGTGAAGGGCAGTTTGCATGTAGCAATGACTTCCTCAGGGCTTGCTGAATTGAGTCAGCATGTCAGGGTTTGTGCAGCAAGCCACGTCAAAGCTAGGACCCAAAGCAGGTCTAGCCAGGGGAATCTTACTACCTCAGTGGACAAATCTTGCTTTATATGCCACTAGACATCCTATGTGAGCATCCTGGATTCCTTTCCAAAAAGGTATTGTCTGATGTCATCCCCCTCTTACATCTCACATAACTTCTGTGTTATTTCTTACAGAGGCTACTGGGGAGGTCCAGCCTTTCTGCGGAAGCTGTTTCATCTGGGCATGAGTTAAGAAGGGTGCAGTGCTTGTTCTCCTCAGGTGGTTTCCGGACCAAAATCGCAGTTACTGATTGAAGGACTGAGAACCTCACCGCGAAAGGAGTTTCTTATTGGATATGGTGACATTTCAGTACCTCTGAATAGCCACCATATGGATAGCCCAGAATGGGCTTGATTCTTTGGAAATATTCACATGAAATTATAGACTTTTATTTTCTAAATAAAATTTTATCATTGATTAAGTTCTGTAAGAAAATTCCATCTTGACTAGTTTGGGAGCAAGGACTGGTGCTGATGGGGAAGCTCACTTGTCTGCCATAAATGTTCAACTTTAGGTGCCATAACTTTACAGAGACTGTAGAAATGATTCTAGGGATGATGCTATTCCAGGCAGTGTATGTCAGCCCTCTACACTGCTGCTTTAAATTCCTGCTTCAGGACCCAGCATGAAGGTCCAAGAGTCCAACTACCTCCTTTTGGGCCCCTCTATCCTGTTTGTGCTGACTCTGTGCTTTCTCTAGCTCATGACCAGCACTATGGGGCACTAGTGCCTGTCACTTTGTGGGGATATAGGACTCTTCTGATGGTCAGTTTTGGCTCTGGAAGTCCCCATCAGCTCGGCTAAAGTTGAGGGTTTTCTACCATTTTTTCCTTCTCTCTCTCCTTCATCAGGAGATGCCTTCTACCTGCATCGTAGTTTGAAGGCCAGCCCTACCTTCTCCTCTCTCTTCTCCTTTATCCTTCAAGGTATTTTTCCTACTTAATCTCTTGTTAATCCAACTCTCTCATGAAACCTCAAGTTTCTCAGAGAAATTATGCATTGTGATGTTGGGGATGAAGAAGCCCAGTGGGTATGGCAAACTGATTGAATTCAGCCCCAGTTTTGGCCAACTGAGTTTTGAATGAGCTCTCACTGGCAACAGTTCCAATTTACTTGAAGTTCAACAGTCTTTTCAAAATAATTTTCTCCCAATCAGTTGATTGTAGACATTTTTAAATTTCAGTTTTAGTCAGTCTAGTAGTTCAAAGGCATGCACGTATATTTACAAATGCCTTAGATTTTTATAACACCTTTTAATTCAAACCCTTTTATGCATTGCTAAGTCTCTCAGCATTCCTGAAGTTCTCCTTATGACTTTAGAAATGCTGTTTCGATATTTACTCATTTAAGAAATATTTACTGAGCACTTACTACTTGCTAAACATCATTTTCAACTCAGGAGATTCAGTGATAAGCCAGACAGATAAAGTCTCAACCCTGATATTTGGGTCTCTTTTGTAGTTTCTCTTTTCTTGGGACACCAGGGAGTTGACTGGGTCCCTTGTTTGATCTATGAAGAGAGTTTGTTCAGTGGCACATACTCTGGGGGAGAGCTGGACACCACCCTAGCAGCAGGCCCTAATCTGATTGTGGAAGACTTTTCCCAGAGTGACCACAGGTTAGCCACATTCCTATTTAACACCTGCTGTCCTGGATCAAGTATCAGCAACTTCCCTTTTCACTCTCCAAGATGTTGCCATTAGGACAGTAGCTCTGGAGTACTCTGGTGGTGTCATTTCCTCATCCTACTCCAAGTTGTGCTATCAGCCCTACTCAGAAAGGGCTGGCTACTTCCTTTGCCATCATGTAGTACTCATGAAACTAGCAGGAGAGGAGTCATCCCTCCAAGTTATCTGGGTCAGAGACAAAACCCTGTCCCCTACAACCCTCCTGCTTACTCTCACAGGATTGCGAGTTCACCTAAGATGATCCTCCTCTGCAGGGTCCAGGGAGACACGGGAATAATCCAGAAAGGATTGTCTCCCTGGTTGTAGAAAGGTTGGTTTCTGCAATCTCAGAGACTAGGCCATGATTCCTGGGACTGGCTGAGGCTCTCAGTGGAATAAATTTGAAATCCATTGCAGAGTTAACACAGACCTCTTGGGTCTGCCTATGATAATGCATTCTGAATAAAACCTTCAAGCATCAGGCAATTGCTCCAGAGAGTATATTATGCAGAGTAATTCATTGACACTGCTGGAGGAGCTGTTACCCTGCTGGTCAGGGCACTGGTCTCTAACATTCAGTTCTGAGTTGGAGAAGATAAAAATGGTGCTCAATTTGGGAAAAGCTTAGCTTTTGAAGCCTTTTCACCTTATCCATAAGTGTGGGGTTGGTAAGAGGGACGCCTTCCTTGGGACTGCCTTTAAGCCAGAAGCAGGCCACAGAAAGGGGAGGGATGCTTGCCTTGGGTGTTGGGGTTTCTCCCAGGGTGGTGCCTTTGGGTGGGGCTGAGATGCAGGTTCTGTAGGTAGAGGGGTCCAGCCTCGGACATATGCTCTCATGGTCTGGAAGTGAAATGCTGGGCCTGCTCAACTGGGGAATCCCCTTAAGTTAATTCCTTATGTGGTCAGGACTTCTTCCTGCTTTGGTGTCAGCCCTGGGAATGTTGTGCATGTGCAGTAATAGAGCTGATCACTGGGATACTGGGATCAGGGATCACTGGGATGTAGGGAGGGAAGCTAGACTTAGCTCAGTGAGGGAGGTACAAGGTTTGAGATTTAATAGACTGTTTTGTTTATTTTTTGTATTAGCATTTGAATGCCTTAGATGTTTAAATTTTCTAGAAAATGTAAAGAACAGAGATAAAAGCAATTGATCATTACATCCTACATCTAATAATAATTAAGAACAGGCTGGTGTTTCTCTTTCAACTTAATGACATATAAAATTCTTGGAAAAAATGAGATCATGTTGTAAGTAGTGTTTTGTGACCTACTAATCTGCACTGAAGACTACAGGCTGGTTATAGAGAGCATGAGATGAGGAAAGTCGTTCAAGAAGCAAAAGACACATGCGCAGCTTAGAAAACTACTAATTAATGAATCAAAAGAAAATTTGTCATGTGCCTTGAAGGCCATGGGTACAGGGCTGACACTGGGCATGTTTTCTCAAGCAATTCTTACAACTCCTGTGAATGAAATTATTAAAGGTAAGGATTATTATTATCTTTGAGAAAGATGGCTTTTGTAATGCATTATTTAAACCTAGTTTTTCTGGGAGAAGGCAAGATAGCCCAGTTTCTGAAGGCACTCCCTGCCAATCTAAACCACTTGAATTTGATCTCTGGGACCCGCATGGTTGAAGGAGAGAACCTCCACAATAGAAAATGTAAAAAATAATTAAAAAGTAAAATACAAGTACATCTGATTAAAAACATTTTTGGTAACTCTGGTTTGATTAATTAATTAATTAATTAATTAATTTTTGTAATACTGGGAATTGAACCCAGGATCTCGTGAATGTTAGGCAAGCACTCTATTTCTGAGTGACATTTTCAGATCTCAGGTCTAATTTTTAAAACACAGATTTCTCTTCATTCGGGACAGTCTTATTTTGATCACCTCAGGGATAATCAAAGAAAAAGGAAGAAACAAGAGAAATTGTTTGGATAAGATGAAGCTTTCTGATTTGATTAATAAAAACTAGATATTCTTGTTTGGTTAAATGTTAAGAAGCTAAGGAAATTGCTTGTCTACATACTAGAAGAAACAAGGTCAATGCCTGGCATTACATAGTTAGAAAGTCACCATGAGGCTGAGAACAAAACTGGATGGAGAGGCAATTTTCTACCCCAATATTGGTTCTTAAAAACTGGTGTATAACGTGCTTTCCACATCTGCATGCAGGACACTGTGACTGCATCTCCAGAGGCTGCAGCAGGGACTCTGAAGCTGTGCTATTCCAGGCTAGGTTTGGGTCTAGAGGAATGGAACAGGCTTTAGAGTTACAGACATGTATTTGAATCCTGGGCCTCTACTGACTGCAGCCTGGTAGTCCAACTCAAGCATCTTAACCATCATTTTCTCATCTATACAATGGGTCATCATATCTTCTTTACAAGGTTGGTAAGAGGATTGAATGGATTCATGTAACATGGATAGCAGTTTGGTACATGGTCAGCTGCTGTTGTCAGCTCTGGTAGTCTAAGACTGTCAACTCTGGACATCAAGAAATACAGTCTTTCCATGTGCCGACATTAAAAATCAGATGTATCTCAAATAAATAGGATGCTTCTTAGGGCCTTGGAAAGAGCAAACTGAACTTCAAAATGTATGAATTAATAAGTAAAATAAATGAATGAGATGAAAACAAAAGAAACAAAGAAAAACACACAAAGGGTAAATGAAACAGTTATTTGAAAAAATAAACAAGATTGACAAACACTTAGCCAAACTAACAAAAAAGATAGAGAAGGCCCAAACTGATAAATTAGAGACTAAAATGAAGACATTACAACAGATGTCAAATTCAGAAAATCAATAGGATGTACCTTTATTATTTATTTATTTTGGTTTGGGAGATAGCTCTAGTTGTCCTCCAGTTCTAACTTGCTATGTAAACCAGGCTGGCCTCTATCTCACAGAGATCTGCCTGCCTCTGCTGGGCTTAAAGACTTGCACTACCACATCTAGTCCAGGATATACCTTTAGCACTTGTAGTCTAATAGATTAGAAAATAAAAGAAAATAAGTACAATGAAAAAAAAAGTCCAGGCTCAGATGAATTCAGTCCTGAATCCTCCAGACCTTTAAAAGAAGAACTAACACTATTGTTCCTTAACTACTTCATAAAATAGAAAAAGAAGGAACACTACCAAACTTCAAAGCCAGTATTACTATGACACCAAAGCCACACACACACACACACACACACACACGCACACACAGAGAGAGAGAGAGAGAGAGAGAGAGAGAGAGAGAGACAGACAGACAGACAGACAGACAGACAGACAAAACCCCCTATTGAAAATAGATGCAAAACTTCTCAATAAAATACTTACAAATTGAATTCAAGAATACATCAGGACCAACAGGATTGCTCAGTGGGTGAAAACACTTGCTGCATGACCCTGATGACTTGAGAGCCCATGTAAAAACGCCCAGCTTCAGCACTGCTATGGTGAGATGGGAGGGGAAGGCAGGGAACTGTCTGGGGAAACGTGTGTAGCTCAGCAGCAGAAATAATGAGAGGCCCTGCTTTAAAAACAAGGTGGAAGGAGAAAGCCAATTTTCCCCAAATTGTCCTTTGATCTCCATATCCACACTATGATCTCTCTCTCTCTCTCTCTCTCTCTCTCTCTCTCTCTCTCTCTCCCTTCCCTTCTCACACACTAAATACAAATAAATCTTTAAAAACAATTTTTCACCATGATCAGTTGGCTTCATTCCATGGGGGCAAAGCTGGTTTAGCCTATTCCAGT